TGTATTTAAGCTTTGAGCACTGAGGAGTTCCTCAGTGCAGTTCTGAATGTAACCATTGTTCTGCACTCCTTGCTGCAAGTAAAACTTTTAAAACTTTGAGATCTCATATTTGATTCTTTATTTGATCAGATCTTTATTTGATCTTTATTTGAATTCTTTGTGTTGGGAAACTGGGGTATGAACTAACAGCATTTTTTACAGTCCTATCTAACGGAGGAAATTTCCTGACAGTGTCCAAGTCAGTTTAGATCTATTGGCAAGCCGACAACAAAGACCTTGACAAAACATTTAGTATTGTGTGATAGTATTAACAACACACTGTTTATGGAGTACCAGTTTCTGAGCCGCACAGTGGGTCGGAGACAGGCTGATGAGCAGACACCATATTAGCCCTCATCCTCCAATTAGGGTGAATCTCATTACTGGAGCTGGGAAACACTTTGATGTATCTGTAATTTTTTAAAGAAAGATTAACATTATCAAAATACATTACATACATACTACCCATAAGAACTTTTCAAAGCCAAACAACCAAACTGTTGTGTTTAGAGCTAAGCCACATAGATGGTTGTCCAGAGGCGTCAAAAGATGTCGAAATGACCAGCCAATCAGGGCTGATGTAACGATAATTTTAATGAGGTCATGGATCAGGCATGTATCAGATGAGATACTACTGTATACTCGGAGCTTGTAGAATTAGCCAATGGTTGTATTTCTTACCTGTTCCCTATAAACTCTGTCTTTCTGCTTCCTGCCGAGAGGAAAACTGGACAAAGGCTTCTCCAGACGTCCTCCCTGTGAAGTCTGTGACAAAGGTGATTCCATTCTCCACTATATCCAAACCTGACGATGAAACTCCAATTATAAGATTCACTTTAAAGGAGTTTCACCACCCTTTATCAAGAAAAAGCATTCAAAGTATCAAATTAGGCGATAAAATTAAAACATACCGACGCTGCTACACAGACTACTGAGTGAAAAGAATGAACATTTTCACTCTTCATGCACAATTTGTCTGTGGGTATGAATTACATTTTCTGCTAAATCGACCAAAAATGTAATTTGTGAAGTAATGTTATGGCTTTTGTTTGTGTAGTTACACTCCCATGTACAAATGATAGGACAGAAAATTGACCTGTGCTGTTTGTAAACCTGTTAAAACAGTCAATGTTTATTATTCTAACAACACGTCCATCTGAGATACCTTACCTCTGAAGAACTGGACTATGTCGGCCTCTGTACATGTGAAGGGCAGACCCCTGAGCCGGACCACTTCACTTTTAGCTTTAGGCTCCAGGTTTTTCTTCAGCATTGCTTCAGGATCACTGATCGTCACTTCATACACTGCAGATGCACGTGACGTGATTTCATACAAATGCCTTGGAAAGTCCAGTTAATCACGAACGTATGTGTCCCTCAAAGAGACAAACCTTCTACATATCTTTCACTGATGTACTGTCTGTGTTTCTCTAAAGCTCTGCTCACATCTTCCTCATTCTCCATCTCGATGAGTATCAGAGATTAAATAAATCAATCATTACTTTTTTAAACTTGTTTTTCAGTTTTATTGACAATTTCAGGCTTAAAAAATTAAATATAATTAAAAATAAGTTATTTAAACCAAGTTGATTTCTTTAAGCATTTTAATGTTAGTTGACATTTGATCGACATCTCTTACCAGAGAAGAAGTGCATGATTTCTTCTGCAGAGCACGACCACGGTAGACCTTTAACCCGCACGATAAACACGTCTTTCTTCTCCGGCTCTTCAGACTGTTGGACTGGCTGTGGTGTAAGCTCATCATCAGAAGATAAATCAGACTGAAAGGCAAAGTATGACATATTTTAGGTATGGCACAAGCAGAAATTTCTAAAAA